CTTCAGAAGAGAGCTGCTCATATTCATCTGACACCATGTGGCCACAGAGTGGGAACTCATCCACTTTTGCCTTCTTCCGCCCCAGGTCAAAGATGCGGATCTTGGCGTCTGAAAAGAGCTTTGGTAAGTTGTGTATGTGGTGCCATAGGCAACTGAATCAGTGCAGCCAAAGCAGTGGGGGAGCTCTTCCACTACTTACCAGGGACACCTCGACAGAAGCGAGACTTTGGGTACGGCTTGTTCTTACAATAACGGTAACTGCAGGGAGGGGAAAAAAACCCAGGTTCGCAGGGATTCACAAGTGAACTTGACTATAGGCACTTTGAGTGCTCCCTTCAAATTAAGACCAAAGGAGGGCTGGGAAAGCGGGGATCAAAACATCAATCTGTAAGCTGCCTCCATTCCTGGAAAATAACTCTAAAGCAAAACAGATCAAAGTGGCCAAAAATTGTTGGGTAACCATGTTGGAAACAAAGGCAAAAATCTTCCTCAATGCCCTACTGGGTTTTAAACTTCCTATAAAGCCAACACGTTGAAACAGATTTTCCCAGTTAAAAACATCTCTCACTTCAAGGAACTGTGCACTACAAATCTGCCGTGTAGCACAGTTCATACTGTCCATCTAAAGACTTTGGGGGCACGTGGCATTTCGCCTCCTAGCCACGTGAAGGGCTCCCGGCGCCCCCTGTAGGCCACCCGAGGCATCTGAGTCCTTAATGCACATAGCCCGGAAATAAGAGCGATGGCACACAAAGGCCCAGAAAGGGTAGTGAGCCAGAAAAGGCGTCGAATTTCCAGGACAGAGAGCGGAATTCAAGGTGAACGTCACTTCCATCCTGAAAGTGGCACAGCACATGCAGTACAGGGTCAATGCAATAAAGGGGGGAGCGCTTAAACAGCGACATCAAGTTTTAAGGAAAAGAAACACATGATATAAATATAAACAAAGACCTAAAACAAGCCGGAAGGTACTGGGGAAAACGTGCGCGTCTACTCCCCAAACAGGAAAATCGTACTAGGAAGGCCCCACCCCACGGTTGCTTTTAGTGGACAAATGTAGTTCTCCCTCCCCTTTTCCCAGCTGCGAAATTGCATGGATTCGGCACTTACCATCGGGCGGGGCGGCGGCCCATGGCGATACCACGATTTTCACCGGCTGCAAGGAAACAGACAAAGTCGGAATAGAACACTAAGACAGGCCTCAAACCAGGAGAGAGAAATGGCAAGGGCAACAGGAGAATCTGGAAACACACACACTCACCTCGCCGAAAGGAAAAGAGGCGCTTCCACGCTTGCGTACGCCTTATATAGCAGGGTTATCTTCCTGCGTAGGAACCATAGAGTCGAGGCGAGGGCGGGTAGACGCTCTATCAGACTTCCAGACCATAGACACAGTGGCGTTCTGCGCCTGCGTGCAGGCGTGGCTGGACACATGCGCAGAACGGGGAAGAAGCTGAGTACCCGACAGCGGCTGCCAGCTGCAAATGGCGTCTCGCCGCATTCCCTGAATCAATCGCGCTTCCTACTAGCCATCTTGGGTGTAGAATTCGGCCCGAGGCTTTGCTGTAACTATGAAAGATGTGTGTTCCGAGAGTTGAAAGAAGGGAAGTACTCCCAAGTGGGGCTCACGGCGGCCGTGCGCGTGTTCCGGAGGAAGCGCGGGGCCGGGAACGCGCTCTCCGTGCCTCCCTCTATCTTACACGGCCCAGAGAGAACGTGCCACGCCGGAGCCTCGGCCTGCGTTCCCTTGTCGACCGGGAGGCCAGAGCGGGAGCCCCGTAACTCTGCCCTAACCAGAGTCCGCAGGGGACTCGGGTGTGAGCCCAGCGCCCTGTCTATGTTTCCTGGAGGCCTGAGCTGGGACCTGTGCACGTCGGGGGTGGTCCGCGTCCGTCCGTGGGAGACAGGTGAAGGAGAAGCCTCCCCCTGCGATCCAGGGCCCAGAAGACCCCGTGAGCACCATTCAGCCCATCCCACTCCACGCACCCGCACCAGGCCGAGAAAAAAAAACATTGTGTTCCCTATGGTGACCTGAAAAAAGGGGGAAGGAGGGCTGTGACCCCACCCTAATGGGAAAGGGCACTGTGACAAACAGTCCCCGGCCCCGGTAGTCCTGGCCCAGTATGTTCCAGCGCCTTCTGACTATGCACAATTCTCTATAAAGCATGGTTTACACACACGCGAGCGCGGGCACGCGCAATCCTAGTATCCAGGCACAGGTGGGCAGAGCTGGGGCCAGACATCCAGGAATGTGCTGTCTGCCACAGGTGTCTGTCCGCACTTCTGGAGGTGTGGACAGCAGGAAATAAAGTCTTCCCCATGCCACTTGCTAGGTAGTGATTCAGAACCAGTTACTCGACCCTTCCGTGTGGTTTCCTCACCTGGAGAATGGGGATAATGCCACTACCAACCTCCCAGGGCTGCCATGAGGATGGGATGGATGAGTCCAGGCACATAGCAAACGCAGCAATCACCAAAAATTATGTTACCTGGCCTCTGATAGTTATGCCCTGGGAACACTGACAGGGCCAGTCCTCTCTTGGACAGAGAGACCTGCTGAGTCTCCATGAAGGTGGGCAGTGTTTTCAATTTGAGATTGCTGACCTGTCTTCAGCAGGGCCTCAGGAAGTCCTGGGTGGGAAGCCTGGGGTGAGGGGCCCCTTCCAGGGAATGGGGGTTTGCTCTGCCAGGAGCCCAGGTGTACTACCAGGATGGGGGGCAGTTCGTCTCTCAGCCAGGGGTTCACCAAAGGCCCTCTGCCTGTGGCCAGGTAAAAGCAGCCCCTGCTTATTGATGCTGTGGGTGAGGGAGTTCTTGGCCCACTCATTCAGACCTAGGCTGGGATGAACCCACTTTTTATGTCACTGTCCTTCCTTTGCACTGTGGAGATGGCCCTCCAAGAGCACTACTTTCAGGTGGAATCTCAGTTCTGCTCTCTCACCCTCCGAGTCCCATGAACTCTGAGCTCCTAGCTGGGCCCCAACCACGCCCCTGTCAGCCCTCTGATTTCATTGGCTATTTCCCCAGGGATTTTCCTCCCTTACCTGTGGACCACCTATGCATTTAAACATAGACTGCCATCCCTGGAGGGCAGGGGCTGGATGTCTGAGAGGCACCATCCCCAATCCTGGCCCAGGCAGCACTGGGTCAAGACACCAATGCCCCTGGCCACAGGGATGGGCCAGCCTGGGTCAACAAGCCATTGGCAACCAGGACTCAGAAGTTCCACCCCGACTCTCCTCACTCTCCTCCCACGTGGGAGGAGGCTTCTAGGCCTAAGATACACAACCCAGAATCATCAATTGAGAGTTTCATAAAATTGGTCATATAAAAAAGTATAACTTCTTGACAGCCCAAACCAGCAACCCTAGTCTCTTAAGAGACAGACTGAGGGAAAATGTTTGCACCGTATGTGACAAAGGACTAAGAGCCCTAGTGTATGACAAGCAGGGTCTTTTGGGGAGACACGTACGGTGTCTTAACATGTCAAATGCCCATAGGTTTTGACCTGGCAATTCTGCCTAGACATAATTATCCTAGATGGAGATTGACACATGTTCAAAGCTGGTAATTGCAATATTAATATAGATAGCAAAAAAAGGAAATGTGAAAGGACATCAATTGGGGATCCATTACGTAAATTATAATACATGGATTCTATCAAGTACCAAGCAGCCAGAGAAGACATGAGCTAGACATTTGTGTACTGACATGGAGGGATCTCCAAGATGCATGGCTAAGTAAAACAATCACAATCAAACTGTATAAGGTGTATGTTTTTAAAATGTGTAAGGTATATGTGTGGATAACTATATTGGTGATTGGATAGAAAAATGTAGTTAGAAGAGACCCAAAGTTTGTTAATCTTGCGTAAAATAATGTTGCTTGGTAAAACTTCAATTATATGCTTTAAAAGGATGCAGGGTGGTAATGTGCAATGGTACAGCTGCTGTGGAAGGCAACGGCTGTTTTTGGTTTTTTTTTAAAGATTTTTTTTTATTATTGGGGGATTGGGGGAAGGGGAACAGACAAGTTGCTGTCATTTTTGTTCTTCAGTCTAGTTGTGGAGGACGTTACTTGACTGGCCCAAGTAGGCGCCATCATTGTGCTCTTCCCAGGCGAGGCACATCAGTCGCCGGCTTCTGGACGGCTGCTCACTGCGGCTGCTCACTGCGGCTGCTGGCCGCTCACGCTGGCTGCTAACTACATACAGTAGCCCATGGCAACCCACTGCAGCAGGGGCTGCAGCCTACACTGTTGCCAGTGACTCACAGCAGCCAAGCTCCAGATTGAGCTGTTGTTCAGCATCTTAGCTGTAGAGGGCAGTGTCACTGGCCCTCATAAGTGGGATCCGAACCGGGGCCCTCTGGCGTCCCAAGCCAGTTCTTAACCATCGCGCCACTTGACCGGCCCCACGGCTGTTTCTTTTAAAGCTGAACAACCACCTCCATAGGACCCAGCCATCGCACTCTTGGGCGTTTATGCCAAAGAAATGGAAACTTGAGATCACAAGAAAACCTGTGCACAAATGTTCATAGCAGGTTTATTTGTAGAAACCTAAAACTGGGAACAAGCAATGCGTCCTTCAGTGGGTGCATGCTTGAACCAACACTGGTCGATCCACACCAAGGACTCTAGCTAGCCAGCAACACAAAGGAAGAACTAACTGTCCATACAGGCAACAGGTTGGGTGGATCTCAAGGGTATCGTGTGAATGGGGGGAAAAAAGCTCACCGGAGGTTACATACTGCATCGTTCCATTTGGGTAACACTATCCACATGACAAAATTATCAGGATGAGAATAGAATACTGGTCGCCAAGTGTTGGCAGAAGGAGGGGAGGGGATGTGGCTGTGAAAGGTCAACAGGAGGGATTCTTGTGAGGGAACAGGCTGGACATTGACGGCAGTGGTGGTCACTGGAATCTACACGCGTGATGCAAGTACACAGAGCTACGAGCTACGCGCATGTACGCGCATATAGACGCCTGGCGAAACCCGGAGCAGCTCTCGGATGGCACCATTGCCATTTCCTGGTGTGCGATTGCACTAGATGTGCAAGATGCTGACGTTAGGGGGGCTGCGGGAGGGGCCCCGGCCTCTTGTACGTTTCTATGTAACTTCCTCTGAATTTAATTACTTCAAAATACACAAGTGCACACCAAAAGCACACAGGCAGGGCTGAGCGTATACAGACAGGGTGACTCGCACGGCTCTGCATGGACAGGTCCTACACTCCGTGCGGGGACCTCTATTGTGCCCGCTGCCAGCTATCTCAGAGCCAACCGGACAGGAACACTGGGAAAGGAGCTCAAGAAAGATGAGCCTAGAGGAGCGAGCAGGACACTGGCTACTTTTGATTGGGCAGGAGAACTGTGCGTCAGGGCTGAGGGGCCTGGCTTCCTCGTGCGGTCTGGGGGCGTGTCTCGTCTTGAGCTGAGATTGATCAAGAGGTGGAGCTAGCCGGAGGGGTGGGCAGGAAGGCGGTGCTCAGAGACCCGTGGGGTGAAGCTGCTGTTGGGCTGGCCCAGAGGAGGTGAGGGAAAGAGCTCCAGGGCTATCGAGGCGCACGCCAGTGACGCCCCGGCCCCTTCGTCTCCACCCTCTGCCACTGCCGGTTCTTGCCCGGCCAGAGTCAAGGTTCCTGAGACCCGGGGACCTACGCCCTCTCCCCGGGAGAAAGCCACCACCGAGTCCAAGCGCCGGGAGACAGTGGGGATTCTGCTGGGCGCCCCTCCCGCCGCTCCTGGCAGGGCTTCCCCCACTGTCCTGAGGGCCCTCCTGATGGCCATGGACCGTGTATTGGTGCCCCCAGGGGTCTAGTGAGGGGGCAAGGAGGACAGGGACCCCACCCAGATGGCAGAGGGCACGGTTACTCTGTCTCCGGCCCAGCCTAGTCCTGGCCTCTGAGAAAGGCATTGCTCTGCACTCCTGGGAGATTCCACCCTCCCAGGGCCCAGAATGCGCACGCACGCACGCTTACAGGAGCAGTATCCAGGAAGAGGTGGGCAGAGGTGAGGCCCGTCACCAGGTAATGTGCTCTCTGCCAAAGGTGTCTGCCCACGCTTCTGGAGGTGGGGACTGCAGGAAGTAACCAAGTCTCCCCAGGGTCACCGAACAGGTGTGTCCTGCCAGGGAGGGAAGCCTGCTCCACCGCGCCTGTTGTTCTCCAGGACCACCTGTGGTCGCGGCCATCAGCTGGGCCTGCCTGCCTCTCACCTGGGGAGGTCAAGGTGAGCCCTGCAGAGAAAGCTCGGGGCTTCTCTAGAAGCGGGTGTGATCAGGAACCAACCATCCATCCCTGTGG